CTCAATTTTTAGATTTTTTTGATTTTTCCACTTTTCGATTTTTTGACTTTTCAATGTTTCAGTTTCCCGATTGACTGATTTTTAAATTTTTCAGGTTTTTGATTTTTCGATTTATTTTCAGATTTTTTAGTTTTTCGATTTTTTGATGTTTAGATTTCGCGATTTTTCTTTTTTTAGATTCTTAAGCTTTTCGATATTTTAATTTTTCAAATTTTAAAATGACGGATTTTTCGCTTTCTCGATTTTTCCATTTTCAGTTGATCGATATTCTATTTCAATTTTATAATTTTTCGAATTTATGAATTTTGAATTTTTCAATTTTCGGTGTTTCGTTTTCTCGATGTTTTGATTTTGACTTCTCGCTTTAAAATTTTTCGATTTTTCAATTTTTCAATTTTTAAAATTTTCTTAGTTTTTCGATTTCTGGATTTATCGATCTCTTTAACTTAAAATTTTTCTATTTTAATTTTTTTTTAATTTTTAATTTGCAATTTTTCAATTATATACTTTTCGATTTTTCGACTTCTGGATTTTCCGATTTTTCGATTGTTCAATTTTTATGTTTCGATTTTTCAATTTTTCGATTTTCCAATTTTTCGTCACTTCTGTTTTAATTAATTTTTTCATTGTTCGACTTCTCGATTTCTCGAAGTTACGTGTTTTCGATTTTTGATTTTCTCATTTTTCGATTTCTCGATTTTTTGATTTTTCAGTTTTTCAGTTATTCAATTTTTCAATTTTCAAAGTTAATTTTTTAGTTTTTCACTTTATAGATTCTTCAGTTTTTCTTCGATTTGTCAATTTTTGGATATTTTAGTTTTCAAATTTTTCAAATCTTGAATTTTTCGATTTTTCGATTTTTTACGTTTTCGATTTTTCAGTTTCTCGAATCTTTAAATTTTCGATTTTTAAAATTGTAGATTTTTCGACTTGTTTTCTCGATTTTTTGATTTTTCAGCTATTTCTATTATTTATCTAATCTTCAAATTTTCTTCGTTTTTTCGATTCTTCGATTTCTTAATTTTGTATTTTGATTTTTCAATTTTTCGGTTGTTAAATTTTAGATTTTTCAACTTCTAAAATTTTAGAATTTTCAGTTTCTCAATTTTCGATTTTTCGGCTCTCCAATGTTTGTATTTTTCAATTTTTCCATTTTTTAAAACTTGTGATTTTTCGATTTTTCAGTTTTTCGATTTTCGAATTTTTTTGATTTCTCGAGATTTCTATGTTTCGATAATTCAATTTTTGTCGATTTGTTCAATTTTTAGACTTTTTGATTTATCGATTTTTTAAATTTCGAATGTTTTTTTATTTTGGATTTTTAAATTATTGAGTTTTGGATTCTAAAATTTTCGATTTTTCAATTTCTCAATTTTAATTTTTTTTTTGATTTTCCGACTTTGATTTTTCAACTTTACGTCTTTTCGATTTTTTGACTTTAATATTTCTCGATTTTTTTGACTTTTCAATGTTTCAATTTCCCGATTGCCTGATTTTTAAATTTTTCGGTTTTATGATTTTTCGATTTTTTCCTTTTTAGATTTCTCAGTTTTTCGATTTTTTGATGTTTAGATTACGCGATTTTTCAATTTCTAGATTCAGCTTTTCGATATTTTAAAGTTTTAAATTTCAAAATGCCACATTTTTCGATTTCTCGATTTTTCCATTTTTCAGTTCGATATTCTATTTCAATTTTACAATTTTTCGAATTTATAAATTTTGGATTTTTCAATTTTTTGTTGGTTCGTTTTCTTGACCTTTTGATTTATTGACTTCTCGATTTAAGATTTTTTCGATTTTTAAAATTTTTGATTTTTCACCTTCTCAATTTTTCTGTTTATCGATTTTTTTAATTTAAAATTTTTCTATTTTTATTTTTTTCTTTAATTTTTAATTTTTCAGTTATAACTTTTTGATTTTTTGACTTCTGGACTTTTCGATTTTTCGATTATTCAATTTTTAGGTGTTTCGATTTTTCAATTTTTCGATTTTCCAATTTTTCGTCACTTCTGTTTTAATTAATTTTTTCATTGTTCGATTTGTCGAAGTTACGTGTTTTCGATTTTTGATTTTTCAGTTTTTCAATTGTTCAATTTTTCAATTTTCCAAGTTAATTTTTCAGTTTTTCACTTTATAGTTTCTTCAGTTTTTCTTTGATTTGTCAATTTTTGGATATTTTAGTTTTCGAATTTTTAAAATTTTGAATTTTTCGATTCTTCAGTTTCTCGAATCTTTAAATTTTCGATTTTTAAAATTGTAGACTTTTCGACTTCTGTTTTCTCGATTTTTTGATTTTTCAGATATTTCTATTATTTATCTAATCTTCAAATTTTCTTCGTTTTTTCAATTATTTGAGATATCCGATTTTGGTGTTTTCAAGTTTCGTTTTTTCGATTCTTCGATTTCTTAATTTTGTATTTTGATTTTTCAATTTTTCGGTTGTTAAATTTTAGAATTTTCAGTTTCTCAATTTTCGATCTTTCGGTTCTCCAATGTTTGTATTTTTCAATTTTTCCATTTTTTAAAACTTGTGATTTTTCGATATTTCAGTTTTTCGATTTTCGATTTTTTTTGATTTCTCGAGATTTCTATGTTTCGATAATTCAATTTTTCTCGAACTGTTCAATTTTTAGACTTTTCGATTTATCGATTTTTTAAATTTCGAATGTTTTTTTATTTTGGATTTTTAAATTTTTGAGTTTTGGATTTTTCAGTTTTTTGATGTTTCTTTTTCTCGATCTTTTGATTTTTCGACTTGACGGTTTAAGATTTTTTGGTTTTCGAAATTTTTCGATTTCTAAAATTTTAGATTTTTTGACTTTATATTTCTCGATTTTTCGAAGTTTCAATGTTTCAATTTCCTGATTTTTAGTTTTTTTTTGTTGTTTAGATTCTGCGGTTTTTCAATTTCCAGATTTTTCAGTTTCACGATATTTTAATTTTTCAATATTTAAAATCCTAGATTCTTCGAATTATCGATTTTCTATTTGTAGATTTTTCGATTTTCAGTTGTTCGATATTTCTATTTCTATTTTAGAACTTGAGAAGTTTTAAAATTTATGATTTTTCGATTTTTCAAATTTTCGTTTTTTGAATTTATCGAGATTTCTATACTATGGTCTTCTAATTTTTCAATTCCACGATTTTTTTATTTTTCTATTTATCGATTTTTTTAATTTAAAATTTTTTCAATATTTATGTTTTATTCAATTTTTAATTTTCAATTTCTCAATTTTAAGATTTTTTTGATTTTTCCACTTTTCGATTTTTTGACTTTTCAATGTTTCAGTTTCCCGATTGGCTGATTTTAAAATTTTTCAGGTTTTTGATTTTTTACTTTTTAGATTTTTCTTTTTTTAGATTCTTAAGCTTTTCGATATTTTAATTTTTCAAATTTTAAAATGAAAGATTTTTCGATTTCTCGATTTTTCCATTTTCAGTTGATCGATATTCTATTTCAATTTTATAATTTTTCGAATTTATGAATTTTGAATTTTTCAATTTTTTGGTGTTTCGTTTTCTCGATGTTTTGATTTTGACTTCTCGCTTTAAAATTTTTCGATTTTTCAATTTTTCAACTTTTAAAATTTTCTTCTTAGTTTTTCAATTTCTGGATTTATCGATATTTTTAACTTAAAATTTTTCAATTTTTTTTTTTTTAATTTTCAATTTGCAATTTTTCAATTACATATATACTTTTCGATTTTTCAATTTTTCGATTTTCCAATTTTTCGTCACTTCTGTTTCAATTCATTTTTTCATTGTTCGACTTCTCGATTTCTCGAAGTTACGTGTTTTCGATTTTTGATTTTCTCATTTTTCGATTTCTCGACTTTTCAGTGTTTCGATTTCTCGACTGTTTGATTTTTCAGTTTTTCAATTGTTCAATTTTCCAAGTTAATTTTTCAGTTTTTCACTTTATAGATTCTTCAGTTTTTCTTCGATTTGTCAATTTTTGGATATTTTAGTTTTCGCATTTTTCAAATCTTGAATTTTTCGATTTTTGGATTTTTCGAATTTTCGATTTCTCGATTTTTTACGTTTTCGATTTTTCAGTTTCTCGAATCTTTAATTTTTGATTTTTCAGATATTTCTATTATTTATCTAATCTTCAAATTTTCTTCGTTTTTTCAATTATTTGATATATCCGATTTTGGTGTTTTCAAGTTTCGTTTTTTCGATTCTTCGATTTCTTAATTTTGTATTTTGATTTTTCAATTTTTCGGTTGTTAAATTTTAGATTTTTCAACTTCTAAAATTTTAGAATTTTCAGTTTCTCAATTTTCGATCTTTCGGTTCTCCAATGTTTGTATTTTTCAATTTTTCCATTTTTTAAGACTTATGATTTTTCGATTTTTCAGTTTTTCGAACTTTTTTGATTTCTCGAGATTTCTGTTTCGATAATTCAATTTTTCTCGATCTGTTCAATTTTTAGACTTTTCGATTTATCGATTTTTTAAATTTCGAATGTTTTTTTATTTTGGATTTTTAAATTTTTGAGTTTTGGATTTTTCAATTTTTTGATGTTTCTTTTTCTCGATCTTTTGATTTTTCGACTTGTCGGTTTAAGATTTTTTGGTTTTCGAAATTTTTCGATTTCTAAAAATTTTCGATTTTTCAATTTCTAGATTCTTCAGCTTTTCGATATTTTAAAGTTTTAAATTTCAAAATGCCACATTTTTCGATTTCCCGATTTTTCCATTTTTCAGTTCGATATTCTATTTCAATTTTACAATTTTTCGGATTCATAAATTTTGAATTTTTCAATTTTTTGATGGTTCGTTTTCTTGACCTTTTGATTTATTGACTTCTCGATTTAAGATTTTTCGATTTTTAAAATTTATCTATTTTTATTTTTTTCTTTAATTTTTAATTTTTCAGTTATAACTTTTTGATTTTTCGACTTCTGGACTTCGATTTCTTGATTTATCGATCGTTTGGTGTTTCGATTTCTCCATGTTTCAATTTTTCAATTTATTGATTTGTCCATTTGTCTGCAGGTAAGCTAGAGAAGTTCGAGATTCCCGCAGCCGTCAAGTTGGTTACTGAAGTATGGTCGCCCGACATGGGTCTGGTCACGGCCGCCTTCAAACTGAAGAGGAAAGACATCCAGGAGCGCTATAAGCACGAAATCAACCGGATGTACGCCTCCTGAAACTCGGCCTGGTTTTAAAGTGTGTGTGATATTCAAGCGAATTCGAGGACTTGCATTCAATTTGTATAAAGAAAAGTTTGCCTTGTATAAAGATAAGGAGCAGCTTGTATATTTTTTCGATCGTAATAATCAATTGCTGCGCTTGTTCCAAGGAGCCGGTCTCAGTTTCGTCGGAAACTTAATTTTGTACATTTATTTTACAAAATGTTATAATTTTGTAGCAATACGATTGGCTTTTTAAGTAAAATTCGTTTTGTTACTGCGTCTGTTGTTTTTCGTTGTTGGTTGTTTTTTTTTAAGGTGTAAGACTGTATGTCCGCGTTAGCAAATTTACTTGTCAATTGATACCGCAGGTCCAACCGCTCTTATCGGTATGCAATATGAAAGACAAGTACTTAAGTGTTAGGTTACTTCCATAAGTTCTTTTATGTAGTCGTACTCTCGTATTTATTATTGTAATTGAGAGGAATATTGCTAAAAAAATGGTGCTGTTAAACTATTTTTTCTAGGTTTTATTTAGACTAGGTCGGGTTGGACATGTAACATCACAATTCTCTTATCATTAGTCTAGGTAGGAAGTAATTTCAATATAAATGCTTTTTTTATAATGTATTATTTATAAATTTACTGTAATTTATTAATACAGAAAGTGTGGAAGATGTATTTGCGGAATGTGGAAGCAACCGCATTATAAATAAATTTATAGAATTTTAACCCCATTTTATTCCTACAAATCTAAGACCTAGTGTACTTCCCCCATATGTGCAACATGAAGACCGACGCGATGAACAAGAGCGACATTACGAGGACCGGCACGGGCCCCCTGCAACACTCGCATCATAAAAAACCCAAAACCCCCAAACCCACTTACACTTTAATCCCAGGAGAATCATCAGTGTAGAACCTCCACATTCCCCCAGACCCCGCTCCCGTATTCCTAGTCCTGGGGGCCACCGCGGACGTCGTCTTCCTCTGCCTCACGGTGCTCCCGGCGCTGGACCTCGGGGCTACGGTTTTCGAGGGGGACCTGCCCACGGCCCCCACGGTGGTCGAGCTCGCCGGAGCCGGCTAAAGTTCAAAAACATTATTTTCGACTCGGATTCCAGTCAGAAATTTACCATCTGGGTCGTTGCAAGCTTCCTTCGTGCTTTGAATGGTTTGTTTTGGTCGCACGTCAATCTATGTCAACAAACGTCATCGATCTGTGCCAACCTGGCGGCGCGAAATTCATTCGCTTGACACTGTTGACAGATGTAGGTTGGTACTTCTACCTAGGGGAAAAACCACAAAACTGGATTCCCGCCAAAAGTGTGGGCTCTGTCACTATATAGTGATAAGAATTAATTCTTTGATACGGATTAATTGCGTGGTAATTTGATGAGATGAATTATGCGGTTTGGTGAAATTCTCATTAAAATTGTTAACGGTTTCTGAGGTTTTTGTTACAAGTGAAACCGCTACCTTTCACCGTACGTACGGTCAGAACGTAAAAATTGGCTGAATTGTATTGTGATGTTGTTATTTGCTGAAGAAACGTGCTGAGTCGGCGACGGAGTAAAAATAATAAGGTCGGTGCATTGTATATATTTCTTGTTTATATTTAAGAATTGCGCATCTGTGACTAATGTCAGACTGTCTTTTCCGGGAGATGAATTCCGACTCATCGGTTTAATCCGAATTTATAGTGTGAGTAATGTCAGTATTCATATATCTGCGTCCGGTGTTAGCTGTATTTTTGATATGTATTATTCACCCCTTTATGTTTATTCTTTCCTCTCAAAATATTGATGACGTCACTTCGAAAAAAATTAATAAAACGTCAAAGATAGCCATAGGAAGTTCAAAAATTCGATGTTGTGTTCAGAAAATACATCTCGGTTATATTCATAATAAGCTGATGTTTCAGAAATGTAGATCATGATTATTGAGTATCTATAAATTTGCAGTTCTAACGCGTAAGAAACTAATTTAATTGTTTGAGATTTCTAATTTATTGTAAAAGCTTGTAATTTACTTGCAAAGATAAAACTGATTTTGGAAAAGGACGTACTCTTTAAGAAAATAAAGGGTGGGTGGGCGGGGCTAGTACTTGAATTTGAAACGAAAAATGATTTAAGGTAATTTTTGAAATATTAAAAAAAAATTTTAATTGTTTTTGAGTTCTTCGACATCTTACCATTTTTTGAAAATTTCCAAAGTGACAGAAACAAGGTAAATTTTGCCATATTTGAAAAATTTGAATTTGAAACACAATACATATTTCGAAAATCTTGGCACCTTTGGAAATTTCCAAAAACAGTTTTTTATTGGTTTCGACTTCCAGAATTTTTTCGGCTTCATTTCTTCGAAAATGCCTTCTATTTTTCAAGAATTACCAAAATGATGATTTTTGAAATATTTTAAAATTTGAATTTCAAACAGAATATTTTGAAAATCTTGGTCTGGGGACATAGCACATTCATAAATTACCAACTGTGATTCTTTTGTTGATTTTGATTTCCATTATTCTTTTTGGAATGTCTCTTCGACAATTCTTACCTTTTTTCCAGAATTTTCAAAATAACAGAAATAAGGTAAATTTTGGAACATTTGAATTTGGACAGAATATTTAGAAACTCTTCTGGAATCGTAGCACACTTGGAAATTACCAAAGACATTTTTTTGTTGATTTCGATTTCCAGAATTTTTTGGAGGGGGTGTTTATTTCTTCGAAAATTCCTACGACCATAGAAGAATCTCAAAAATTAATGAAATAAAGCAAATTTTGGCAAATTTGAAAAATTTTAATCTGAAACAAAATACATATTTCGAAAATCTTGGCACCTTTCGAAATTTCCAAAAACAGTTTTTATTGGTTTCGACTTCCAGAATTTTTTTCGGCTTCATTTCTTCGAAAATGCCTTCTATTTTTCAAGAATTATCAAAATGATGATTTTTGAAATACTTTAAAATTTGAATTTCAAACAATGTTTTGAAAATCTTGGTCTGAGGACATAGCACATTCAGAAATTACCAACAGAGATTCTTTTGTTGATTTTGATTTCCATAATTCTTTTTGGAATGTCTCTTCGACAATTCTTACCTTTTTTCCAGAATTTTCAAAATAACAGAAATAAGGTAAATTTTGTAACTTTAGAATTTAGACAGAATATTTCGAAAATCTTCTGCAACCATAGCACATTTGGAAATTACCAAAGGCATTTTTTTGTTGATTTCGATTTCCAGAATTTTTTGGACGGGGTGTTTATTTCTTCGAAAATTCCTACGACCATCGAAGAATCTCAAAAATTAATGAAATAAAGCAAATTTTGGCAAATTTGAAAAATTTTAATCTGAAACAAAATACATATTTCGAAAATCTTGGCACCTTTCGAAATTTCCAAAAACAGTTTTTATTGGTTTTGACTTCCAGAATTTTTTTCGGCTTCATTTCTTCGAAAATGCCTTCTATTTTTCAAGAATTATCAAAATGATGATTTTTGAGATATTTTAAAATTTGAATTTCAAACAGAATATTTAGAAAATCTTAGTCTGGGGACAGCACATTCAGAAATTACCAACAGAGATTCTTTTGTTGATTTTGATTTCCATAATTGTTTTTGGGTTGTCTCTTTGACAATTCTTACCATTTTTCCACAATTTCCAAAATTAAAGAAACTAAGGTAAATTTTGGAACTTTGGAATTTAGACAGAATATTTCGAAAATCTTCTGGAACCATGCACATTTGGAAATTACCAAAGAAATTTTTTTGTTGATTTCGATTTCCAGAATTTTTTGGACGGGGTATTTATTTCTTCTAAAATTCCTACGACCATCGAAGAATCTCAAAAATTAATGAAATAAAGCAGATTTTGGCAAATTTGAAAAATTTTAATTTGAAACAGAATACATATTTCGAAAATCTTAGCACCTTTCGAAATTTCACAAACATTTTTTATTGGTTTCGACTTCCAGAATTTTTTTCGGCTTCATTTCTTCGAAAATGCCTTCTATTTTTCAAGAATTATCAAAGTGATGATTTTTGAAATATTTTAAAATTTGAATTTCAAACAGAATATTTTGAAAATCTTAGTCTGGGGACAGCACATTCAGAAATTACCAACAGAGATTCTTTTGTTGATTTTGATTTCCATAATTCTTTTTGGAATGTCTCTTCGACCATTCTTACCTTTTTTCCAGAATTTTCAAAATAACAGAAATAAGGTAAATTTTGGAACTTTGGAAGTTAGACAGAATATTTCGAAAATCTTCTGCAACCATAGCACATTTGGAATTTTGGAAATTACCAAAGACATTTTTTTTATTGATCTCGATTTCCACATTTATTTTGGTTTGATTAATGGATTCTACAATTTTTTGAATTGAGTTACTCGAGTTTTCAGTTTTTAATTTTTCCATTTCCAATGTTCTGTTTCAGTTTTTTATTTTCTTTGTTTTTACAATTTTTTTATTTTTTAATGTTCCGATTTAATAATTTTTTGTTTTCTCAATTTCACTTTTTTCAGTATTTCGTTTCGTCAGTTTTTTAATTTGCAATTTTTCAATCTATCTTTCTTTTTTTTTTCTTTCATTGTATGATATCTCTTCCAGTTTTCATTTTTTAATTTTCCAGTTTCCCGACATTCCAACTTTTGGACGTTTCAATTTTTATATTTTGCAGTTTTTCGATTTCAAATTTCACGAGTTTTCAATTTTAGATTTTTCAGTTTTTTGAGAAAAACGAAAAAGTATTCTAAATACGTGACTTACATTCGGAGTACAGTCCAAAATTATTGAATAATAGTCGGACTTTATATTTTTTATTATAATATCTCTTGTTCTTTGCGGCAAAAATTGTTGAAAGAAAACTATGCATATAAAGAAAAAACACATTTCATTTGGTAATTTCTTGTAAAGAAACGAGGATTTTACTACTAAACTCCGCCCTTCAGTTCACGATGAATAAAACATTCATCACAATTGAGAAGGGGTGGGTGGGCGGGGCTTATATTTGGTCCATTTTTTTTTAACATTCGAAGTCTTCTTTTCCCAACAAGAAAAGGACAATATGTTTGACTATCCTGTTGTTGAAAGAAAACACCATATATTAAAAAAAAAAAAACACAATAAAACTGAAGCCCCACCCACCAGCCCGATCTCAATTGTGATGAGTTTTTCATTCCTAATCAGACCGAAGGGCGGAGTTTAATTGTAACATCAATACTTCTCTAAAAAATTCTTTTAAAAACATATTTCATATGGTAATTTCTTGTAGGGAAATCAGGATTTTGCAGCTAAAATCCGCCCTTCAGCTCACGATGAATAAAATATTCATCACAATCGAGAAGGGGTGGGTGGGCGGGGCTTATATTTTATCCATTTTTTCTTAACATTCGAAGTCTTTTTTTCCCAACAAGAAACTGGCAATATGTTTAACTATTCTGTTGTTGAAAGTAAACTCCACATATAAAAAAAAAAACAAACAAAAAATTAAGCCCCACCCACCCACCCGATCTCAATTGTGATGAGTTTTTCATTCCTAAATAATCAGACGAGGGGCAGAGCTTAATTGTAAATTTGTAACATATTATTTCTCTAGAAAATTCTACCCTTTTAAAAACACATTTCATATGGCAATTTCTTGTAAAGAAACGAGGATTTTGCAGCTAAACTCCGCCCGTCAGCTCACGATGAATAAAATATTCATCACAATTGAAAAGGGGTGGGTGGCCGGGGCTTATATTTTATCCATTTTTTCTTAATATACGAAGTCTTCTTTTCCCAACAAGAAACTGAAAACATGTGTATCTATCCTGTTGTTGAAAAAAACAAAGATTAAGCCCCACCCACCCGCCCCGATCTCAATTGTGATGAATTTTTCATTCGTTGTTAGACCGAGGGGCGGAGCGTAATTGCAAAATACATATTTCTCTATCGATTTGAATGAGTTTCGAGAAAATGGGGCAACTGACTCGTTTTTAATTTGACCAATTAAACTACTATTTTAGTTTAGACTACTTTTTTCGTACTGAAGGGGTCACATAAAAGTGGCAATTCGTCTGATGGACTCGATTACTATAGTTCTACTAGAGCTATTTGATTTTTTTTTAACTGATAAAGTAAAATACGCATTGCATATGCTCAAACCCACAAAATCTGCAATGAATTGTCAAAATATGCAAAAT